CCCCCCTCTCATCCCTCACACACACGTTTCAGTTGAATTCCATAACTGGAGTAGGCCTATACTACTACAAAGACAAGCAAACTCGGAGGTTGGGTGAATGGGCATCAAAACTTAGCAAAATCTTACTTTTTACACAGTCCTTTCCTTGAGACGAAAAGACAGATGATGATTACAGACACCAACAGGCACATACATCCCAATACACCGCCAATAATGGCGCCAAGACGCCTACTGTCATGTGACCATCTCTTTTCTGTCACGTGATTCCCACTTCGGTCATCATCATCATTATCATCGTCACCACTATAACCGTTTTCGTCTTCAGATTCTGGAATTTAAAAAAATGAGAGATAGTTTTATAACAATCAATAAGTTGTATTGCGATTTGAACTGTATTTAAGGTAGGCCTATAATGCTTCCCATTCCTTGACACTTACTCTTCGTTCAAACGTGACAGGGTTTTATCAAAAAGGAATCGAAATGAAAATCGTGCAGATCTAGGCCTACCAAAAGCAGTCATCATAAGCACTTGTAATAGGCAATTGGAAAATGCTCTACAATATGGACAAACAAACAGACCTGCCACGTTGGTTGTTTCGCGTGTAGGCGTTGAACTAGGAGGCGGTCCAATCGATGGTCTAATAGGCGTGTCTCCAGTTGTTGATGTTGTCACTGGCGTCGTTGGCGTTGTGGCAGCGCTACTCGACAGTTCAGCGGTTGTGCCGATTGCGATAGTTGAGACCATTGCGGTGCTTGTGGCGGGGCATTGTATTGTACAGTTCAATACAATAATAGTGCTTACATTCAGTTGCAAATCGATACACGAGGACCCTGGTGCTAGACACCATTTTAACGTCCATTCTCTCCTGTTGCGTACTCTCTGGCACACAAAGTAGACGCTATCGCACGGTCCTTTCGCCCACTCTCCGAATTCTGTGCAAGTTCTGTTGCTGTAACCGCATGGCCAGTTCTCTGAAAAGTTAGCAGATACATCTAAGACCATCAGTAACTCAGGTAGAGACTTCATGTCATAGGTGATTGACAGTTTCGATTATCACGGTAGTGTTCTCCAGCAATTTCCCTGTGAAAATATAAAAATAAAATGAAAATACCTAGAGTTAGTGAAACAAGGACACTTAAGAGATTATTACAAAAAAGCAAACTTTTAAGGAAAAAAGCCTGGACTAATTTTGAATGCAAGAACGGAGTCATTGACCATTGGTAAGTACGGAAAAATTGCCGTTTACCCCAGGATTTTTTTTTTT